GGCGGAGGGCGGGGCGGAAGGATGGCCGGAGCCTCAGGGGAACGTTCGGGGCGGGGCCTGCCCTGTGGGCGGGGAGAGGGCGGGGACTCCGGGTGGAGGGCGCGGCGAGCATGAGGGGCGGAGCCTGTGGGTTGGGCCTGAGGGGCGGGGCCTGAGGCGTCCTGGGGGCGGGGCTAGGCTCGGGGCCTTTAGGCGGGAGGACGGGGCGGGCCTGAAGGGCGGGGCCTGCGGAGACCCATACGCCGGAGGCTTGGACGAAGGGCGGGGCCTGAAGACCAGACCTCAGTTGCCAGATGACCACGGGACGGCTTGGGGGCGTGGCTTGAAGGGTGGGCGGGGGACAGGGCGGGGTCTGTGGGCGGGATGGAGGCGAGCTGGGCGGGGTCAGGAAGAGCTTCCCTCGGCCCATTTAAGGCGGATCTCAGCGAGACCCCAGCTGTCCCCTAGGCCGGCTGTAGCCTGTAATCCTAGCACTCAGGAAGGAGAGGCAGGAGAATTGTCATAAATTTGAAGCCAATTTGAGGTTGCACAGCAAGACCCTGTCTCCAAAAGAACAACAGAAAGCAAAACAAAACGGCACTACATATTTCTCTTGACGTGTAGAAGACACAGCGCCGAGAAGAGTTACTATTGCTCTCTCGATATAATTTATTTGATATTTTCTGTTTCTGATTAATTTTTAAATTTTATGTATTTTTACATTATAAATTATATGAGTGTTTTTCTTAAGATTTTATTTTTATGTATATGTATTTGTGTGTCTGTATGTGCATGTGAGTGCAGGTGCCTGCAGAGACCAGAGGTGTTGGAGCCCCCAGAAGCTGGAGTTACAGGCTGTTGTGAGCTGTCAGACATGGTTGCTGGAAATTGAACTGAGCCCTCCAGAAGAGTACTCTTCTGGAGTACTTCTTGTTAGTACTCTTAACCGCTGAGCCATCTCTGCAGTCCATGTTTGTGTTTTTGAGCCGGGGCCTTGTCATGTATCCAGAATTGACTGGAGCTCTTGATCCATCTGCCTCAGCCCAAGGGCTGGGATTATGGGTGTGCACCACCACACCTACCCCTTGCATAATTTCTAAACAACAATAATAATACCAGCAAGTACCTAGAGCTTACTATGGCCTAGACCTTGCTCCACATGCTTAGGAACTCATTTGGCCTCTGGGACCCTGGGAGGAAGGTATCCTTCCCTTCCTGTTTACAGATGGGGAGGGTGAGATTTAGAAAACTAAAATCCCTTCCCCTTTGGCCCCAGGCAGTCAGCCACCAGGGTTTGCAGCCAGGCCTGGCCTCTGTAGTAACAGTGATACATGCTGCCTACAGAGACCCAGTGAAAACGCAGGAGAGCAGGGAAGGGTCACTGGCCAAAAGGGGGCAGCTGTCAACACTAAGGATACAAGGCCTGACGTCCTTCCCGTTTGTGTGTTTCCTATGCATCAATGCAGATGAGGTCACGTGATTCTCCCTTTTTCCTGGGCAGCTACCATTTCCTAACACGGGTTTTTCTCAAGTCAGTACAGTCTCTGTGACATGCTCCTAAATGGCACGTCTGGCTCTGCGGTGCAGATCCTGCTCTCTGTCTTCCCCCATGGTTTGGCATGCAGCTGGCACTCCTATTATTAACACTGAGGTGAACGTCTTTTGTTCATCCTGCCCGATGTAATCTCTGATGACAGACGTCTCTGATTGTAAGGCTCCAAGCAGCCCCCTTCCTGAAAGGAGGGTCTTAGTGGTGACTTCACCCGGCTCCTCTGAGATGCAGCACTGTGAGTTGGAACCAGGTCTGGCTCCGTCGTTTGCAGTGCCCACCTTCTTCACAAAGCAGTTCCAGGGGATCTGATGCCCTCTTCTGACCTTCCCAGCATTGCACAACACGGATGCACTTACATACATGCAGGCAAATATATGCATACACATGAAATAAAAACAATAATACGAACGAGGCTGGAGAAATGGCGCAGTGGTTAAGAGCGTTGACTGCTCTTCTAGAGGACCCTGGTTCGATTCCCAGCACCCACATGGCAGCTGACAATGGTCTATAACTCCGGTTCCAGGGGATCCAACGCCCTCTTCTGGCCTCCTCAGGCATTGTACTTCACAGGCAAAACACTCATGCACATGAAATAAAATATTTTAAAAAATAAAATAAAATAATACAAAAAAGTAAAATCTGCCCTGCCGAGTAACTTCCACTTTGTCCACGTGTTCCTCGTGTGGTATTGGTGGGGTCCTTAGACCTAAGATTTTATTTCTAACAATGTGAGACATGGGGATCTTTGTGGTAACCCGTTGAGTTGATGCTATTATCCCCATTTTGCAGAGGAGCAAACCAAGGTTTTGAGTTGGGATGAGTCATCCAGGGTCAGTGACCAGTGTGTAAACCAGGCAGAGGAGGCAGGTTGTCACATGCCAGCCTCTGAACCACAAGGATTACTAAATGGGGACAGGAGAGCAGGATCAGGGCCATCACCGTGCAGCCAGCCAGGAGCCTAGCCTAAGACCAACCGGGCCTGCGGGGGCGGGGGGGGGGCGTGGTCCGTCTCGGCTAACTGCTATGATCATTGGCAGTTCAGTTCTCTGGGGGATAGGAAGCCCAGTCAGCCAGGCTCCAGGAGGAGGAGGCTGGGCCTCGGAGGTGGTGCTGGCTCTCTAAACACCCCTGCCTGCTTGCCAAAGCTTTGTCCTTAGCCCAGCCTGCCTCCCAAGGACTGAGTAATCTGGAAAAATTGCAGTTCTGCACAGAACAGCCTGCAGGTCAACCCCCACCCCCCATCACATCCTCACTGGAATTCTTGGCCCCGTGCATCCTGTAAGTTTGTAAATGTTAGAGCATGGGGCAGGAAGCCGGGATGCATGGAGAGGATGAGGCTTGCCTGTGGGTTGGGCCTCAGTGAGCATCTGGGCCAGATCTGGGTGGTGGCTGGAGTATGTCTCATTTCAGTTTAGAGCAAAACAGACCTGTCTTCCATGATGGTTTCTCTGCCTCCTGCCTTTGCTAACATATTTTTTGTCCCCTAGCTCTGCCTAGGATGTGAGCCCTGGCTTGGCTGCTCCCCATGTGTGAACTGCACCAGCTACTTGGTTGTGCCTCAGCTTCTCCACTTCCAACCTGTGGTGGCACCTGCTCCTGCCTCCTGTCGTCATCAGTTGAATGAATTAATCCATGGCCACTTCCAACTGTGTCTGTGACTTTAGCCCTAGCTGATGAAGCTGGGCACTCAGCTAACCACATTGAACCCTTTGGTTCAAGCCCCTGGACAGCAGCCTTGGATGAAGAGTCAGCGGCCACCGGCAGCCCCCTGCATGTGACTGTGCACTCCAGCTGCTCTTGGCTCAGGGTCTGAAGGTGGAGTGGCAGATTCTGAGGTCCCTTACCCACCCGCAGTGCCCACAGCCTGATTCCCCGCCTCCCCCCGTGTCACGTTGAACCCAATACTCGCTTCTCTTTTTCTTGAGTGTTAAAAGGATGTGACTCAAGGACTCAGGACTTCAGGATGGCAAACCTGGCTCAGGTCCCAGCTCAGCAGGTTGACCTCGGCAGCCCAGGTCCCCTGTTGAACCTTCGCATCGCTTGCAGCAACTGGACAACCGGATGGTTAAAAGCCCTCCCAGACTGCTATGGGGAAGACAGAAAACATGCTTGCTGGAATATTCCCTCACTGGCAACCTTTGCCTTTCCCCATGGAAGTGTAAAGCTAGTTATTTATATGGCTTTGTGGGAAACATTGTCCATGTGCACTCTACATCCCAGAGCCTGGCATCAGTCTCTGGTGATCAAACCTTACGCTGCCCGCTGTGCCATGCAGAGCAGTGTCATCAGCCACATGCAGCTATGTTCTGGTGCATTTAGGGGTTAGACAGCAGGGGTCCCCAACACAGCTATTCCAGTTTCTGCTTTCATTAGTCAAGATTTACGTAAAATTATAAATTCAGATTTTCAGTCACGCTAGCCACATTTTAAATCTTCAGGAGCCACACGTGGCTAGTGGCTGTCTATGGGACAGTGTGGATTACAGAACAATTCTATACTACTAGAAAGTTCTATGGGGTACGCTAGAATTCCACTTAGAAGCTGCATGACTTGAAGCAAGCTGCTTACTGCTCTGGGCCCCTGTTTCTTCATCTGAAAAATGGGAGTTCACCTGCTCCTTAGAAAGCAATTGAGTGTCTGCATGACCATGTTTTAGATTGCAACCTCAACACAAATGAAAAAAATAAAAGCTCCCTCCCATGGGCGGGCTTTTTAGAGGGAGGTCAGTAGCACCCATCTCTGAGGATTAATTTGAAGATAAAATGAGACAGAGCGGGAAAAGCTCTGAACACAGTGCCTGACACAGTTGATGGTGTTAATATATTACCTGCTATTTTTTTGTAATATTTTATGTGTATGCATATATTGCCTGTGTGTAGATAAATGTACCTGTGTTGTACAATGCCCACTGAAGAAAAAAGAGGCTGTTGGATCTCCTGGAACTGGAGTTATGGACAGTTGTTAGCTGCCATGTAGGTGATGGGATTCGAACCCTGGTCTTCTGCAAGAACAGTCAGTTTTCTTAACCTCTGAGCCATCTTTCCAGCCCCCTGCCATTCTTTTAAGACAAGTAAGTTCTCACTGGAGGCCGAACCTGGCCTTGAACTCAACTTTTCTTCATCAGCCTCTCAAGCGCTAGGATTACAGGCATGTGCTGCTCTGCCTGGC